GAGCCTTCAGAGAGGCTCATCAGAGAGGCAGCTCACCTTGGGGAGTGAGCACTCTTAGCTCTTTCTTTGCCCAAGTTGATGACAGAATCTGTCCTCTAGGAATTGGGCATGTACCTGGTACCTCTCTGGATCTTCAGAGAGAGTGTGGGGTCACAGGAAAAAAAACACAGGTATTAGGATCACAACGACTTGTTTGACTCCTGACCTTACCAGGTACCAGCTGTGTGACCTTGAGCAAGTTTCTTAATGCACTGAGACTCAGTTTCCTTACCTGAAAAATAAAGACAATAATAGTACCTCGCTTATTGGGATATGGAAGGATAAAAGTATACAACGCCTACAAAACGTCTAACACAGTGATAAGCTCCCAGGAGGAGCTTAAATAAGCCATGGTTTCCACCCTTCTCTCGGGAGCTGGGGACACAGAGGCCTTTAGGAGTGTTTGTGGATGGCGGTGAATGACTGGGGACCCCCTGCTGGCCTCAGTTATGTGAAGTACCTTGAATCTCCTTATCATGCTGGAATACTCACAAAAAGTGGTTTTTGAGACATTTTCTTCATTTCTAAAATGAGGATAACAGTACCTGCCTCACAGAGTTGTTGTGAGGATGAACTGAGATAATGTATGGAAATGCTTGGAATAGCATCGAGAATAGAAGTGCTCAGTAGTGAATGATGACCACCACCATCATCATCATCACCATCATCCTCCTCCTCAACATTACCACCATCGCCATTTGATCACTACCATGATTGTCATACTTATCACCATTATCCTCTATTACCACCATCATCATCCTTAGCACCACCATCCTCCCCACCATCACTGTCGCCATCACCATCACCATCCTCCTCACCATCATCATCATCATCCTTCCAACCATCATCGTCATCCTCCCCACCATCATCATTATCCCCACTATCATCATCATCATCACGACCATCATCATCTTCATCACCACCATCCTTACCATTATCATCATCATCATCCTCACCACTGTCATCATCTTCACCACCATCATCATCATCCTCACCATTTTCTCCATCCTATCACTACCATGGTGGCTGCCATCTGTGTGTAGATGGTTCTGTGTTAGGAATGAGGTATACAGTAGTACTTACCACAGAGAATACAGGGACTTCTCTAGCTCATCCCTTTCTTTTAGTCTTTTGGGACCTTGCCATAATACTGCTTTTACTGGAAGAGAAAAATACCTTTACCATCAACTTCTCCTGCTGAATGAATGAGGGATGGGCCCTACTCACTGACCTTTCTGTTATTACCCTCCATGCTTCCTCTTTGACTTCTCTGAACCAAGTAGTTGTAATTACAGAATATAGTCTGTGTTTCCCCCACAGGTGTTCCACAGAGCATTATTCCAAAAGATATTAGATGCAGGTGAGGACAGCAAAAAAGGAGAAATGTGTTTTGGGAACACTGCATTCTTTATCCCATTTTTCTAGATCCATAGTGCATATTAGTATAGGAGGGACTCTGCGCCTGAGATGGCAGGTCTGAGAAATGTTGCCTGAAATGACTCTTTGTCAGTCTTTCTGGAATTGCTGGCCTGAAACTTAACTCTATAATCCACATTTCTTTATGAAAACATGTATGACTAGATTTATGGACATAAGCTACAATGACTAAAATGGTCTTGGACATGGGGAGGGGATGGTACACACATGGCTTGGCCCCACTATTGCTAGGATAGAGATGACGGTCTTTGTTTTAGTTCTAATCTTGAAGAACAACTAGCACTGTGATCCATGTGTTACCTGATTTCATGTTTGCTCAAGACTGCCAACATTACCACAGTAACACTGGGATTGGGGAGCCACTGGGTGGTCCGGAGAAGACCAGCTCTCCTCTTTGTGCTGTATATGATGGGCAGGCAGTTATAGAAGTTAAACTTGCTTTTGTTTTTGCTTTTGCCTTCTTTTTAAAATAACTTTACACCACCTTCAGGACTACTTTGGAGAAATCATGGCTAGGGATGTTGAATAATCAGAGTTGAAAATCACTCTATTCTCATTTATTGCTATAAGAATGTCAAAGTCATTCTATGAAGGGTGACTTGGCAAGGTGTAGCAACAATCTTCAAAATGTCAGAGTTCCTCAAGGTGTAGCCCTGGGCTCTCTCCCTCATATACTTTCTTCCTAAGTGAGAGCATTCACACCTATGGCTTTAATCATCCATCCATCCATCCATCCATCCATCCATCCATCCATCCACCCAACCTTCAATCCCCCCATCCATCTATCCACCCACCATCCACCCACCATCTACCCACCCATCCCCCCATCTATCCATACATCCCCCCATCTATCCATCCATCCATCCACCCACCATCCACCCATCCACTCATCCGTCCATCCATCCACCCACCCACCATCCATCCACCCATCCATCCACCCATCCATCCCTCCCATAGTTATTTATTAAGCACCCACTATGTGGCACATGCTTTTCTGGGTTCTGAAGATACACCACACTAATGTTTATTTCCAGACTAGACATACAGGGTGACAGCTGCATCCTTGGCACCTCATCTTGAATATCTCACAGGCACTTCCTTCAAGCCTGGTCTTCATGCAGTGTTCCTTATTCTGGATTTTAGTGAAGGAAGCATTGTCCTTTTACACAAGCCAGAAACCTGGAGGTCTATAGACCCCCTTCTCTCTGTCACTTCCCTTCTAACTACATCCAATTCCACTACTGAGGCCTGTTGATTTACCTCTTAAATGCCTGAGAAACTTCTCTCTTTCTCTGTCCCACCCCTGCCCTGGAGCTACCATCATCTCTTGTGACAGCTTCCTAACTGGTTCTCTGGCGCTTTGTGGTGGCCATTTTCCAGGACATTTTCCACTCACAGCCAAGAGGATTATCTCCAAAAGCAAACCTGTTCCATCAGTTCCCTACTTAAAATCTTTCATTGGCTCACTGCCCTTAGGTTAAAGCAGAGTTTCTTAGGAGGGCCCTGCAAGCCCACACGGCACAGCCCCTGCTGACCTTCCCTGCCAGCCCTGTCCCACCTCTGATCCTCATTTCTTTCAGTCCCTTGTGTTCTTCATGCTCCCCTCCCACCACCATGCAACTCTTTTTGCCCAGAATTCTCTCCCCTCCCCTCTTTGACAAATAACTCCTATGCATCATAACTCCTATGCATCCTGCAGATGCCCTGCCCTCCCTGACCAGGTCAGAGTTCTGCATGTCTTCTTTGTAGCACTTGTCACCTTTAAAGTTTTATGTGTGAGTGATTTTTCAATTTGTGCCCACCCTCCCCTCCCCAGACCACAAGGTCTTTGAGGGCAGGAATAGTGCCTGTTTTCCCCTCAATATTTTAATATGGCAAATTTCAAATGTACATAAAACTAGAGGAATTTTCCAGCTAACACCCATACACTCTCGACCAGGATTCCACCTGTTTCTGGCCCCACTACATCTCTGCCCCACACAGTGCTGATGTCTAGTAGACATGCAATAAGTCTTTGCTGAATGGAAGTGGTTCGATGTCCTTCCACCTCTAAGATGACAAATGTAAGGTGAATAGGTATATGTTCAATAGCGTTCACTTCAGCATTATCTGTAAGTATGGAAAACTGGAAATAACTTAAATGTCCACGATAAAAAAAAATTAAAAAAATGTATAGGCAATGCCTACTCTGTACCAGATACAACTCTAAGTGCTTTGCATATACCAATACATTTTAATCCTCACAACAACCTTAAGGGGTACGTACTCCTTATTATCCTCATTTTACACATAAGGAAACTGAGGCAAGAGAGAGTAAGAATCATACAGCTATTTCCATGGGAAAATGCTGTGAAAGTTACACCTGAACTATAACAGTAGTGACAACATCAAATGCTGGCAAAGGATGTGGAGCAACAGGAACTCCCGTGCATTGCTGGTGGGAATGCAAACTGGTGCAGGCCCTTTGGAAGATAGTTTGGTGGTTTCTTTAGAAACTAAGCCTACTCTTACTACATGCTCTAGCAATCATACTCTCTGGTATTTATTCAAAGGAGTTGAAAACTTATACCCACACAAAAACCTGCATGCAGGTGGTGATGGTAGCTTTACCCCTAATTGCCAAAACTTGGAAGCAACCAGGATGTCCTTCACTAGGTGGATGGATAAATAAACTAGCCAGACAATTATTCAGTGGTCCGTCCAGACAATTATTCAGTGCTAAAAAGAACTGAGCTATCAAGTCATGAAAAGACGTGGAGGGAACATAAATGCATATTACGAAGTGAGAGCAGCCAATCTGAAAGATTGTATGATTCCAACAGCATAACATTCGGGAAAAGGCAGAACGATGGAGGCAGTAAAAAGATCAGTAGTTGCCAGGAGCTGGAGGTTGGGGGAGGGATGAGTAGATAGAGAGCAGAGGATTTTTAGGGCAATGAGACTCCTGTGTGATATGATAATGGTAGATACATGCCATGATACCTTTGTTCAAACCCATGGAATGTGCAATGCCGAGAGTGAGCCCAATTGGGAAGCACGGTCTCTGGGTGTAATGATGTGTCAATGTAGGTTCACCAACTGTAACAAATGTACCACTGTGGTGGGGGATGCTGATAACGGGTGGGGACTGGGCATGTGTGGGGGGGCAGGGGGTACACGGGAAGTCTCTGTACTTTCCTCTCTGTTTTGCTGTGAACTTAAAACTGCTCTAAAAAAAAGTCTATTAAAAATTATATATGTATATATATATTGGTAGTTGCTTCTGAGAGATAGGATTTAGCATAATTTTGATTTAATCTTCCTTTTGCTTGTGTCACGTCTCATTTTTCTTCAGTAATCAGGTCTCACTTTTTTTTTTTTTTTACCCCCAAGGAAAAATCACTTCTCAAAGAAAGTCTGCAGAAGGGAATACTTGGCCATATACCTAAGAAGTCTTCCTCAACAGATGTCCCACCATGATAAGATTCAACGCGACATTTTAGAGTCATGGGACTATGTGAGAGAAAAAAAAAAGTGCCATTAACCTGTGTCCGAGCTGGATAACTGGATCCCGACGTCCCGGAGGAGATGCTCCGTTTCCTCCAGCCAGGATAGCGACAGGCGCAGGATGTCCAGCACCACCTTCTGGAGCCCTGAAACAGGTGGGCTCACCTGAAGGGTCTGAAGCATGTCCACCTCCTTCTTCAGGTCCTTGCTACAGCAGGACATCTTCATGCAAGCCTGGAAAGACACGAGGTCATGAGGCGCCCAGACCCTGTGGCCAGAGATGGCACCTGAGCAGTGCCCTCGCCTTTGCTCTGAGGCAGATGATGCCCACATGCTGGATGCACTGGGATGGCTCCGTTGTATTTACCTTCCTTTGGGGGCAGCTTTTTTTTTTTTTTTTTTTGCACTCTAATTTGGACTTTGGATGGTCAAAGAGACCCCACTTTTAGGTATCTGCAGTTCCAAAGCCAAATTGCCAAGGATACCTGGCGGCAATGGGAACCAAGTTTGGCGACTCCTGTTCATCAAAATTCCTGTTGAGATCAATGCATCAGCTGGTCAGAAAGTGGGGTTTCCTGATTTCAGAGTGCTGACAAGCCAGCATTTGCATGGGCTCCCCAAATAGTAGCTGCTTATTTCCAGAGAAAGCAGAAGCAGCTGCCCGCTATGGAAGGCTCCATTTCGGTGTGGGAGCCGTGGGGGTTCAGGCAGACTTCTGGACCCATCTCCTCCAGAGTCAAAAGCAAAAGAGGCACAAAAAAAGACCCCCCAAACAATAGCCTTTCCACTGCTAGGCCAAAAAAAAATAATAATGCAAATAAAGAGCCGGGATGTTTCTTTGGTTTCTCTGGAAATAACAGGGGACTTATTTAGTTATTTACTTATTTTTTGCTGGGGCCTGGGGTCTCCCCAAATCAATACCAGAAGTGTGTCAGGCCTCTTTTCCTTGGCCACACCAAATTCACCTGGAGGCATTTTTTTGAGGCTCTTTGTTTTCTGCTCCCAAACAGATTTCTCCGACAAGAGAAAAGGACAAAAGAGAGCAGAGCATTTCTGCCCGACCTGCTCCATGAACCCTGGGCAATTTCCCAAACCAGCAGCACAAGAAAGAGACGAAGGGGGCGTTTGTAAAAAGCCGAGAGAGGCCACCTGGCAGCTTTCTAAAGATGCCTTCAGCTTCTCGACATTCTCCGTGATTGCCTCCTGTTTGGAATTGCTGAGCTGAGTCTCCTTCTGCAGCGTCCATTTTTTCTGCTGAAAGTTGATGTTGTCCTCGGTGACCTGGGTAATCTTCTCTATTAGCTGGTGAGAAAAAGGAGAGAGAGATTTACAGAAAAGTGTGGCTCTGGGAGGGGAGCTGGGAGCATGATTCAAGCTCCCGGGTCCACAGCTGAGCAGGGAGGCCCTGACGTGTCTTGGTGATGGCTCCGGAGAAGGACATCGGCTCTTGTCCCCAGGACATGTCTCCCAGGATCTGAGATGGCTTTTAAGAGCCAAAGGTCTGTAATGTTGTCATGAGTTTGTTCTAGATTCTTCTGCATAGTAGCAGTGATTTGTAACATGGAGCCTGATGCTGTGGGCTCATGCATAGCAGGTCAGTGTCCACAGCCGACGAGAGCAGCCCATGGTGTGTCTTCTCACATTTGCATGGACACAGAGGGTTGGAAAAGAAAATCGGAAGAATGACCAGGCAATCGTTATGGCCAGAAGTCCACCCCCATTACCATCTCTTCCCTTGAAGGAAGAAGTGAGAATGCATCATCTACAGAGAGGCAGCCCCCCCTTTTTTTAAGGTGCTAACGAAGGGTAAATGTGTGTGTCTGGAGACCAGAAATAGGCCTGAGTGGTTTAATTTGATTTTCACAGAAACATTTCAAGGGAGTTTAACTGGCTTTTACTTTAAAAGCCAGGAAATCCCATAAAATCAAAACAAATCTTTATGGTGTAGCAACAGTGTGAAAAATATGTACCACCAACAAAACACAGAAGCATATGCTCCCAGTGTCTGGAGTCCCAGGTCCCCGGAGGAAGAAGTGACAACGCAAGACAAACCTGTTGATCGGTGATGGGCTTGTCCAGGAACGGCTTCGCCCGTCCGTAGGTGGCCTTGATGACTTGACTTCTGAAATGCTCCAGCTACAGCACAAAGGGAAGGCGACAGAGTCAGCGGGGCCGACAGGGGGCCCCGCAAGCCTGGGTGCAGCACTTGAGGCGCGGGGCGGGGGCCCAGGAGTGAGGAGGCTCCGCGCACTGCTAATGGTCATTGTGGGTCATGAAAATCTTCACCTCTTGCTGGAAGGGGCAGTGCCAACAGAAGAGAACAGAACAGCGGGTTTTAATTACTTTTTCGGTCTGCCTGCCCAACCCAACCGACCCACGTGGTCAGCGCACACACGTCTGGTGACCTCGGAAGAGCCACTTGCTGCCAATTATCCAGTGGGATGTCTGGGGCCGGGAGCGCTCTGCGATAATTGTTAAGTTGGCACCAGACTGTGAAATAAATATTGAGGCTGTCAGCCGAAGTAAATGGTGTCATCAGCCCGGGTGCCCGGCGAGAAGGACAACGTGCTCCCTTCTGCCATCCTGGGCCTCCGACCATACGTGTCCTGAACACGGTGTCTATTGTCTTTGTCTCTCCAGAGCCTGGTACGGTGCCCGGCAGTGTGGGCGCTCAATACATATTCATCGGATGCTTGTATGCAGAGACATCTGTCACAAACCCGGGGCCTCTACTCCGGTTCAACTGGCTTTTATCGAGTGTCTCCTGGGCGCTGGTGTTTTCAGATTATGGCCGATGAAACGGCACAGTTAAATTAAATCAGGGCACACAGAAGTTCAAGTTCAAGGTGTCCAGTTCCAGGAGAAGTGAGAAGCAAAGAAGCCCCACTTTCTCTGAGAATTTACCAACACGGCCTGAGTTTTTGGTTCGCTGGCAAAATTTGGTCATTGACTCTAAAAGAGAGCCCTGAAAATTAAAAAAATAAACAAAAGAAGAAAGAAAAAAGAAAACAAACACACACTCACAAACACACAAACAAAACAAAAATAATAAATAAATAAATAAATAAATAAATAAATAAATAAATAAATAAATAAATAAAACAGAGCCCTGAAGGGACCATAAATGCCACTGAATCAACTTAAAAATCAAAAGGTCCTAATATGCAGGGTTTACTATATACCGTGGAGTTCTGGGAACCCAACAGTGGAATGATGAATCTCCTAAGGATGCCGCTGCAATCAGCCAGCCCAAAGCTGACTGGGGGGGTGCCTCGAGGCATTCCAGGCCATCCTCAGGATCCACAGCCAAGGGGAGGGTCCTAACTAGCCCAGGAAGAGGAAGAGGTTATGTAGAGAGGCCCCAGTGAATGATGGCTCCCCATGACCACCAGAGGCACCCTAGAGCACTGCTCAGGGACAGGTCCTCCTGGTTCTAGGGCTCAGTCCTGGAGCCACTTGCCTGGGGACGGGCAGAATCTCAGACAGGGAGCAGGGCCATGGAAATACGGGGGGTGGGATGGGAAGGTGGCAGAGACAGGGCTCATCCTCTGTCTCTTGGGTCTAGACCTGGAGGAATCTCAGTGTCTCTGAGGGTCCTCCCAAAGACTTCTCCCCAGAGCCATAACCTGGACCATGGTACTTGGGCAAGTGACACAGATCATGCCTTCAAATCAGGTGTGTGTTGGGGGCTGCAGAGCACAGGAAGGGTGAGGGGCTAGTCCAGATGCAAAAGGGAGGCCCAGATTGGCAGGCTCTCTGCCCTTGCTCTGTGCTGGCCCCCTGCAGAGATGACACTGGGGGTGACATTCGTTGAAGGGGCTTTAAGATCTGCCCAATGGTCAGCGTCATTATTTAACTTGTGTGTGCCTCTCACAAAGCCAGGTCACGCTGCCCCGGGGAAGGCTCAGAAGGGCTTTGGGAGCTGGGCCTCGTGGGATAGAGGGCTCCTTTAAGGCTTGTGGTTCTTAACTTTTCTTGGTGGCTCACAGACCCTTCGGAGAATCCAATGGGCGACATGGTGGACCCTCCTTCCCAGAAAAACAAAAGCACAAACACATATATACACATAAAACGTTCTTGGGTCCCCTGGAGCTGTCCGTGGTTGCCAGGAGAGAGCCCCTTGGGGAGAAGTCCAAGGTGGGTTGCTCTTGGAGGGCCATATTCTGGAGGGTCAGTGCCCCCATTCTGGCTTCCCGTTTGCTCTCCTTTAGCCTTTGGTGAAGTCTTGTTTGCATGTTCTGGCCCTCACATCTGTGCCACACATAAGAGGAAGGGTCACTGGGCCACCTGGAGCCAGAGTATTAGAGAAATGGCATCCCCTGTCAGAGCCTGCTCACCACCCTGCCTAGGGACTTCCCCATCGAGCAAGTGCTCTGACATTCTGGGGTCTTACTTTATTTCCTTAAGGACACTGACTGTGAAATCTGCTGGCGAACAGAGGAAGCGAGATCATGCTAAGTGTCAAGACAAAAAATGTGAGGAAGAAAGTACTAAAAACACCATGGGATCAAGAGGCTCAAACTTCCCCAGAGGGAGCCGCCCAGCGGGTTAATTGGGGCAGGCATGGAGCCGGGATGGGCTGCCTGGGTCTCAGACAGGGAACTGCTTGTGTGGGCAGCTTCCCAGCAGGAGAAGCCTGTTCGAGGTGTTCACTGGGATGCAGAAGCCACACTCGGCTTCTCCTCCGGGATAAAAGGGAGAATTCAACCACGGCCAATGTCCTCCTCACTCATCCCCACCAGCGGCTTGGGTGCAGAAAACCCATGGGGAACGTGGGCCACTAAAGGGGGCTCTGGAGCTGGCCTACCTGACCTACTGCCCTTTCCAAATTGACTTTAATGAGGTTCTCTCTGTTCCCCATTTCTTGTAGCTGGAGCAATTTCCTTCTGGAATCCTCCTGAAGCTTCTCTTCAACCTGAAATGATGATGAAAGCATGTGCTCGCCACTAATGTGATCATAATGCACTCCGGAGAACTTCCTCTAGGAGGTCTAATGGCCATGGGGGAGTCCCAGGGGGGCGGGGGCGGTTGCAGCCCAGGTGGCAGGGGTCACAGGCCAGAGCAGGGTGGAGGCAGGCTCGCCAGAGCTGTCCCCCAGGGGAGAGGGCCGAGCTCTGCACCCCCCGGGGCTCAGGCTCCGATCCCCTCTAGGTCCCCAGCAAGCCGTGTGACCTCGGAACAGTGTCCTCATCTGTCAAATGGGGATGATGATCCTAGTACGCCTCATAGGGTTATTGCGGGGATTCAAAATGTTTAGAGTAGGGCCAGTACCTCCTGAGGGCTCTATGCATGCACCAGGTGGTGTAGTCTGTAGAGGTGGACAGCAACGTCCACCAGGCGGCGTCATTCTAATGCCGCTAGGAACTGGCCCATGGTTAGTACTTGGTAGATGTTATTATTAGGCTTATCATCGTAACGATTTGTCATTGCCACTTTTAGCACACTCACCGGTGGAAGCCGCTCTAGGGGCTTGCTAAGCAATGTCTTTTAAGAATCGCAGATTTCAAAAGAAGGCGTTTACAGCGGGGGAAACTTGCCCATTTATTCCCCCTTGCTTGGTCAGTAGTCAAGGCGAGGCGAGCTTGCAGGTGCTCGAGGCTGCCCTCTGCTGGCTGTTATGGGACCCTGCAGCTGAGCCGTTCTTTCCTGAACAATAACATTTTGGAAGCACCTGTTGAACCAGGGCTCTGGCACCATTGGGAAATGAAGCAAACTCCCCTAAATGAACGTGAGGATTTTGTGCTGAAACAACTTCACGAGCTGTTTCTTAGGGGGCTGATGGGGGGGGGGAGGGGAATCACAGAAGTAATAAAAGACCCAGAAGAGCCCTGTAGAGCTTTCTTCTGAGCAGTGTGGCATGGTGGCAGGGCCTCTAAGTAGCGACGGTACCTTGGCAAAGCCATCTAACCTCCCTGGGCCTTAGCTTCCTCCGCGTACATCCCCCTAAACATGTCTAAACATGCTCCGACTTCTATTTCAGCAGACTTTCTCATACGCCGGGAAAGCCAAGTCCAGCCCGGACTCTGCTCTTAGCTACGCTCCCCGTCGAATGAACAGTCCCTCATTCCCCGCCCCAACCCTGGGGGTCTTCCTGCACTGCCACCCCACTCTGTCCCTCACGCTCGGTGATCTCCAAGCCTGTGGCTCCAACCCCTCTCACATCCAGTCCACGCCTCCGTCCCTAGCCTGGCGAGCCCCGCCACCGGACACTGGGCACCTCTGGCCTGCGGTAAAGTGGCCTCCTCCTTCCCGTTTACTTCCTTCCAGCACATTCTCCACGGTGCTGTGCAAGTCACCAGGCTGTGGGGCAGCTCGGTCTGACAGAGCTTTCTGCAGCGATAGAAATGCTCCACGTCTGTGCTGAATAGTAGCCACATCTGGGTCTCAAGCACTTGAAATGTGGCTGGTGTGACTGAGGAACTCAATTTTGAATTTCACCTAATCTTGATTAATTTCAGTGTGAAGAGTCGCGCGTGGCTACTGGCTGTGCCCCAGTGACTGGAGCCAGACAAGCCTGGCTTCCAGTCTTGGCTTCGCCTCCTGCTGACAGTGTGGCCATCGGCTGGTTACCTTACTAGTGACTAATAGCCCTGATTCCCTCATCTGAAAAATGGAGAGGATAAATGTTTGAGAGAGATTAAATGTTTGGCATAATGCCTAGTACATGGGAAATTATAGCTATTATAGCTATTGTTTTCACCATTATTATTATTATTTGTACAGGATTTTATTTATTTGATTGAAAGAGAGAGAGAGAGCACAAGCAGGGGGTCAGGGCAGAGGGAGAGGGAGGAGCAGACTCCCCGCTGAGCAGGGAGCCCGACGCAGGGCTTGATCCCAGGACCCTGGGATCATGACCTGAGCCGAAGGCAGATGTTTAACCGACAGAGCCACCCAGGCGCCCTTCACCATTATTACTGATCACAATGTAATCATATCAGTTCCCTGTTCAAAAGCCTTCAGCAGCTCTCCACTGCCTGTGTGGTAGGTCACCCGAGTGCCACATGAACGCAAAAACACCCAGCCAAGGATTCAAGAAGCCCATGTGAATGCCAAACAAGGTAAATAAAAATGAATCCACATCTAAATAAATCATAATAAAGCTGCTAAAAATGAAGAGAAAAGAAAATCTTAAAAGCGGCCAGGGAAAACAGATTACACAAAGGCACAAGAGTTAGGCTTCTAAATGACTTCTAAGTGGAAACAACAGGACCCGAGAGACAAGGGAATGATGGTCCTGATGCTACGGGTAACTCGCCGGAAGGATGTCATCGCCAATGCAGAATTCGATACTCAGTCAAAATGTGTTTTAAGAATGAAGGTTAAATATTCATTTCCAAAGATGCATGTGCAAAAATCTGAGAGAATTTGTCATCAGCACAGCCATGCTGAAGGAAAACACAAAGTAAATAAAATAAGATAAAAAATAAAATAAAATAAAAGGAATAGTCTAGAAAATGACAACAGTGGCATACAAATCTGGAGGGGGATGAGCGAAGTTAGTGTTCTACAGTCATTGTCTTACCAAGGAGAAGTGAATAATTATCAACTAATGTTGGATCTTGGTAAGTCAAGAATGCAGATTATAGCCATGAGGCTGACCATTAAAAGAATAAAGAGTGAGAAATTCAATTACTATTGGATTTTGGTAAGTCAAGGCTGAATGCTATTGTCTTGCTATTACTAAAAGAGTAGTAAAAGAGGAAAGAATTTCCAAGCTAATAGAAAAATGGAATGACAGAAAACCACTAACTCCAAAGAGGGCAAGAAAGGAAGAAAAGGGAGCATCACACAGATTGTGCAGCTCGTGCTGAGCAGGAAGGTAGATTTAAACCCCAATAAACCAGCGACCACTTTATATATAAATGGACTAAAAAACAAAGATTGTCAAAGTGGATTTTATAAAGATGATGTGCTATTTAGAAGAGATGTGTCTAAAACATAAAACAAAGATTGACAGAAAAAGTAGGAACAAGATATGCTATGAAAATTCTAACCAAAAGAAAAACCAGTGTGGCCACCAGTTTTATATATATGAAGATTTTATTTATTTATTTATTTATTTATTTATTTATTTATTTATTTATTTATTTAAGAGAGAGAGAGAGAGAGAGAAGCAGAGGGAGATGGAGAGGGACAAGCAGACTCTGCACTGAGTGCAGAGCCTGATGTAGGGCTTGATCCCAGGACCCTGAGATCATGACTGAGCCAAAACCAAGAGTTGGACACCGACTGAGCCACCCAGGTGCCCCACTGCCAGAGTTATATTAATGACAAAGTAGACTTTAAGGGGAAAACACTACTAGAGATGAAGAGGGATGTTTTATGATGATTAAAGGGTTTTTTTTTTTTTTCCTAATGAGAAGTGTTAAAATTCTAAATTTATAGGCACCTAGTAACACAGCCTCAAAATATACAAAGCAAAAGTTGGCAATACTAAAAGTAACAATACACAAATGCACAATCATGAAATTTTAAAAAATATACCTCTTCAATGACTGATAGAACACATAGCCAAAAACATCAATAAGGGCATTTAAGTTTGAACAACGTCATTGGCAAACTTGATTTAATGGATCAATTCTCTTCTGGATAAATTTTACCAATTACGAGTTGAAGTCAGTCTAGACTAGCAGTTACACACAAGAGCATTGGAGTCAGATAGACCTGGGTTCAGCTTCTGAATAGTACAGCTACTTTATCTGCGTGAACTTTACCTCTGTGAGGTTCGGTTTCTCAACCGTCAAGTGCGGTTAATACCGGTATTGACCACACGGAGTTGTGAGATTCATGGAGATGTTGCGTGCAGAGAGCCTGGCCCAGAGCGGTCACTGGGCCACACTGTCCTTGTCTTACCTTGCTCTTTTCTCGCAGCGTTTTAGAGATCATGTTCTGTTCAGTACAACTCTTCTTCAGGTCCTCCCTGAGCTTCTTCATTTCTTTCTCCATGTCTTGGATTTGCTGAAAGAGTTTCAACAACAGGAAGTCAACTTCCCTCACGGGAAGTGGGAGTTGCCCTCTAGGCTGAAAATTCTGAATCTCTGTAGCTCATTTCATTGGGTTCATTAAGGCAGAAACCTAGTCTGGTAGTAGCTTAATTGCTTCCCTTGGGGGAAAATTCTACATCCGTGGGGCAAAGTAGATGTTTCTTCAACTGATGTATGGGAAATTGGGTAAAGGGAAATGATTAGTTTCTTTTGAAAATCAGCATGGACCCTGGATTAAACAGTACAAGATATCTATCAACTCATTAGAAGCTCTTCTCCTGGGGTATCTTCTTGAGATCAATCTAAATAACAGCTGCTTGGATGAACAATGGACACGGTTTGGAAGGACAGAACAATGAAATTTTTCTTTTTTCCCATTTCGAGGCAGAGAATAGCAATGTTCCTGGCACAGAGAACAGACGTGTCTCCTCCTCATGGTGAAGGCGCTGTACTTCCCAGGATATGGAAACTCATGCCTGCTGTTGGGGAAGAGGGTTCAGCTGGTGCAGGCGATGAGCATTTTCATTTGAGTGCTCGTATTTTTGTCGTTGTTTATTTCCAAAGTCATCGTCTATCTAAGGCAAATGATACCTTTTCTTTTTGTTTTGTTTTTATGAATTGGTGTAACGTTGGTTTATTTCCGCAAAAATACTTCAAGAAGAATTTTGTGTTAATAACCGTGTCCATGCCTCTGATAAACTCTGACAGGGGAACATGACAGTGTGGGTACCATGGGTCCAGGGGCCGGGGCCGTGTGTCCCACACCCAGGCCCAGGGGGAATGTGCCCACTGCCCAGAGAATGCTGGGAGAGTGTGTTTTCTACGGTATTTTCAGCCATCTCTTCCTTGAGGCTAGAGGCAGCATTTCAAAGAATTAGGAGGCTAGGTTAATGAACAATCATTAAAGCCCCACAGCTTGTGCTATCTAATCATCCAAGGAACCCCTCCCTGGCCCCCCAGAAAACGCTGAGGGTCAAAGTCTAGCCCTTCTGGGGACACTTAGCAGTGAAGAGACTCAACTCACAATTTTGCAGAGTTTTAACTCTTTCCCTTGGGCTTCCTGGTGCTCCTTGTGAGCATCTTCCTTCTTTAACTCTTCTTTCAGCATGGAGCACTATGGAGAGAAAGGACAGCAAGACCACATGGGGTTGTCTGTGGGTCCCTAGTCCCCGTATTTGCCCCTAAGAGCATTTCTTGTTGTTTCATCCAATCACTTCCCCAAATTCCCAGAGGCGAGGCCATTTGTGTCTGGGGGATGCCCCGGGCCCTGCAGCAGTTCCTAGTCATCCCTCTCGTGATTCCCGGGGGTAACATATGTAAATTCTTCCTCAACGAGTGCCTGGGTGGCTCAGTTGGTTAAGACTCTGTCTTAGGCTCAGGTCATGATCCCAGGGTCCTGGGATCGAGCCCTGCGTTGGGTTCCTTGCTCAGCGGGGAGCCTGCTTCTCCTTCTCCCTCTGCCTGCAGCGTCCCCTGCTTGTCCTCTCTCTCTCTGTCAAATAAATAAATAAAATCTTTTAAAAAAAGTTTCTTCTTTAAGAACCAGCAATCTACATGATGGGACAGACACAGCTTTGCAGAGTCTGGATCCTTAGGGTGGAAGGATGGGTGTGTTTTCCTCTGTGACCAGCCAAGAGAGCTTGCAGGAATACCGGGAGGGTCTCGCTAGTGAACTTGGATGGCTCTCAGTGCTTTCTGCAAGTGACATCTCAAAACACAGCCACCTGGCCGTGGAAATGTAAGTGAAACAGCCCTTCTGGAGGGCAGTTTGGCAACACGCATTAAGAACATAAAGATGTGCCTTCTTTTGACCCAGAAATTCCCACTTTAGTATTGTCTCTTAAGGATGATGATTAGAGAAATCAGCAAATCTGTAGGTTCAGGGATGTTCTTCACAGTATTGTTAGCAACAGGAAAAAAAAAAGAAAGAAAAAAAGAAACAACCGTGTCCAACCACAGACCGTTTTATTACATTGTGTACATCCAGAAAAATATTATGTAGCTTTTAGGACCGATGATATGAGCTTTTATTTATTAATATGGGAAAATAGTAAGTATTTAAAATTTAAAAAATGTGTATAGTATATATGTTAAAATATTTATCTCTTTATTGTATATAGAAACAAGATTGGAAGAATATATATTAAAATATTAATGTGGATTTCTAGGGTAGCATTTTCTTTCTTATCTCTCTAGTTTTGCTTCTCAGTATCATCTACTTTTATTTCCCTAAAATTCACACGCATGACAAAGGGAATTAGAAAAACAAAAGATAGGCCTCCCACATGCTCCTCAGAGCCAAACCCTTGGGGGCAGGACCCCTGTGTGCTAATGGACGGCACAGCCTAGGGGAGGAGGGATACCTCATTCCAAGGTCAATGAGGAAGAGGAAATGGGGAGAAAAAGAATCCAAATGTACTTTAAGAAGTAGAACAGTCAAAACGGGGCTGTTTTTCCATATCTCTTCCGCTTAGCATCAGCTCTGCAACCCGCCCCCCCTCCCCAACATGCACGCACACACCCACGCACACACTCACGTACCCCACATAAAGCAGTGATACTGTGCATCTAGGGAGTCAATCTACCTGGGAGAAATGAATGTATGGACGGGGCTCGGCCAGGCAGCTGACCAGGTGCAGAGGCAGAAGAGCACAACCGAAATCCGCCTCTCACTTCTCAGAAAAATGGTTTTGTTATCCCCATGTCACAGATGTGGAAACCCGAGGCCAAATAAGTTACAAGAAAAGAAAGCTCTGGGATTGGATCCTGGTCTGTCCAACCCCAAAGCTCACGTTCTGCCTTTTCTCAGTTCCAAACTGAGTATCGTACTAAGCACCCGACATTACTTCTTGTGCCTTTTCTTTGGAACTATCCAGCCACCCCCTCCCCATCCCTGCAGACTGAGCTACTTGATCAGGCAGCCACTGGAATCTCTGAGCTGCTGGCCAAGATGACAGCTATTGGGTTTTACCTCGACTCATTGAAACACACAAAGCACATGCATCCTGAGAAATCGTCCTCTACAGGATCAGGATTCTAAAGTCAGGATTGAAGGCATCATTTGCAGAGTCAAAGTTACATTTAAAAAGCTCTTTACCTTGCAGAGAACCTGGCCCCTGCCTTTAGTCTCTCCAGGTGGGCCTTTGGTGTTTTGGGCCACCCAGCGGCTATCCTCCTGGTGGACACCAGCCCTTGGGCACCAGTCCATCTCACAGTGGTGGGAGAGATGGGAGTGACATTTAAAGCTGGGGCCCGGGGTATGTGAGATGAGTCATGGGACTCTGCTCTGCTTTTTGGGGACAGCTACAAGGATGATGATGGTGCCCCAATACTCACTCTGGAGCTGAGGGCTTCAAGCTGGTGATTCTTTTCTTTGTTCTCACTTTTTAGTTGGTTCACCTCCTGTTTGAGTTGTTGAATCTCCTCATCCCTTGTTAACACTTCTTTTTGCAATGATGACACCATCCCTGTAAAAAAAATAAATAAATAAAGACTCGCAGAGGTCAAAGGGGCAGGAAGGATGACCGTCACCACAGCTGTCGGCCAACTTGTGGGGGAGCCCCTTACAAGCCCGGGAGGCCCCTGGTCCTCGTCCAAGGAGCTTTTGTCCAGGCTCCCGGAGCTGGGACAGGGATGACCCTGAAAAGCGTGGAACAGTGTTTGTTTAAGACCTCAGTGAGAACAAGAAGTCAGCGAGTGTTGCTGGGAGAAGAAAAGCCTTTGGGGGGCCCCTGTGGGCTCAGGTTTGGCAGGAGAGGCCACGCCATGGGCCTGGGGAACAAAGGCCAGTGCGGGGAAGGACCAGGAATTTTTCACCAGGGGCCATAAAAAGTCTTACGGCAGAAGGAGGCTGTGAGCAGAGTGGCTGGATTCACACTCACCCGAGTTTGGAACCCGTTTCTACCACTTAGTAGTGTGGTGTTCTTGGACAAGTTATTTTCCCTGTAAGTATCTTTCACTATATGTCCCCCATGGAGTTATTATAAGGGTTAAAGACATATAAAGAATTTAGGAGAGTGGCTGACCCATCGCGTTCATTACAGGGTACCCATTATTTTTTGTGGTAGCCGGCTTCTAAAATGGCCCCAGTGATCCTGACCTCCCGGAGTTCATGCCCTGGCACAGCCCCTTCCTACCATGAGTAGGTTGACGTGTGTAACCAGTGTGATTTTGTGGAAAAGATGGACCGTGACTTCCTAGGTGGGTCATAAAAGATACTGCAGCTTTCCTTTCGCTCTCTGTCGGATCACTCACTCAGCGGGGGAAGCCAACCACCATGTTGTGAGGATGCTCAAGCCGCCAGGAGAGAGTCCCAAATTGTTCAGAATGGAGGTGTCCAGATAACAGCCGCGTGGACGAGCCATTCTGGAAGCAGATCCTCCAGCTCCTGATGCGGCTTTAGATGAGGTGACATTTGCCTCAGCCAATGTCCTGACTGCCCCTCATGGTAGACCCTGAGAACCAAGTCACCCCCTCATTCCTGAGCTCCAGAAGCTGGATGACATAATAAATAGTGGTTGTTGTTTTACCCACGAACTTTTGGGTTGTCTGTGGGTCCCTAGTCCCCGTATTTGTTAGGTAGCAGGAGACCACTAATACATTATTGGATTCTCAGGTTGAGGACACGTGGGAAGAAGGGCGTGGAAATGCTGTGGGATTGGATTATCTCACGTGGTTCTTTTCTTGGAAGAACATCATGCCCAATTTCATTGATAGCCATCAATCAAAAAAAGTATGTGAGATGAAGGACAATGTGACCCAGAATTTCATTTAAACAATGAGCTCTGTCACAGGACATGGTTAAGTTACTTTGAAACAAGTTGATCCCTTTGGGACTTGCCTTCTAGCTTTGGGAGGCGGGACTGGAGCAACACACATTTACTTATTTATTTATTTATATTCATGTGGATTTTAATTTTATTCTTATTTTTAATTTTTTTTATTATGTTCATTTAGCCAGCATATAGTACATCATAAGTTTTTGTCGTAGTGTTCCATGATTCATTGGTTGCGTGTAACACCCAGTGGGCATCCCAACACATGCCCCCGGAGCAACCTCTAGTCTAGTGGCATTTGGGCCTCATGACTGAGCCAACACCTTTTTGACTCTACCAGATGCCCTGTGGATTATGAGGCCGCTCCGTTCTGGAGGCTGGGAAAGTCAACCATTCTTGGCCTGTGTGAGCTTCGAGATGGTCCTCTCTGCTCCTGCTGGGTTTTCTTTCCCTGCCCATCTACTTGTGCTGTTCAACACTCAGCTGAAGACTGGTGGGGGACCCTCTAGAGATCACCTCTCTGTGCGGCCTCTCCTCCCTGGCACGCTGCCCAGCGCCCCGGAGCTGTGTTGGCCTCTCCAGTGCCATCCCCTCAAAGTGGGGGCCCACTGGTTTGTTTCCTCTCTCCCGGATCATGGTCATGTGAAAATAATTATCGCAGATATATTTTTCCTTTTTTTGGTTGTTTCGGGCAGGAGAGCAAACTCAGTTCCCGTCATTCCATTTGCCTTGTCTTTCCCGCCTCTCTCACTGTGGAAGCAGGCGCTGTGATGGCCTCTGTCAGCCTGGTCCCTGAGTGGCCACGATGAGCAAAGCCCCTGCTAACCCACGATGGATACCACGCGGAGGCAAGACATGAGCCCGTCTGTTATAAGCCACTGAGTTTCAGGGCCCGTAGCTGCAGCGTAACCCAGCCCCGTGCTTCTCGAGCTTGAATGTGCATACGAAACCCCAGGGACTTCAGCAAAGTAGATGCCCTTTCAGGAGGTTCTGGGCTGGGGCCTGAAATTCTGTGGTTCTCACCAGGACCCAGGGCAGGCTGATGCTGCTGGTCTGGGGACCACACCGTGAGTGGGTCCAGCCCACCCCAAGTGTTACCCTAACGCAAGTCTGTCCAATCCCTGAGTGAAGAAGGTGGTATCCGAGACAGGCCTGGAGCACAGATGAGATCTGACAGGCCGGTGTGGGCGAGGAAGACAAGGGCCCAGGGTGTCTGTGTCTGGAGCCGCACCCGGCCCACAGGAAGGGCCCAGCAAATATCTGAGGACATTATAAATTAGGGAAGAGCATGAACAGGCCTGGCAGGTGGTGGGGTAAGGGTGGGAAGTTGCAGAGTGAGGCGGAGGAAAAGCCAGTGGTCAGGCTGTCCTGGTGCATGGCACCCGGATTCAGAAAGAGATAGATGGCGATTCACCTGTGGCTCAGGGCTATGCTCGGCTTTCACAGCTATGGACGCGTTTCCTGCCGTGTAGCCAGCACTCTGAGAGCAATATGCCCCTTCCAGACTCACTGCCTGCTCCCCATCCCCCCTGCTTCACTCCCTCCCCTCTTTCTCTGTTAATGGCCCATCCTTCTCAGGCATGTGATTTCTCTCTAAAAACCCCAGTGGCTCCCCATCACCCTTAGAATAAAACCCAGACTCCTCCCTGTGACCTATCCCCTGCGTCCCTCTCTGACCTTGCCCGTCCCCCACTCCCACGTTCACCCCACTCCAGCCACACCGGCCTCCAGCTCCTCCCACGCGGCCAGCTGGCCCCAGCCTCAGGCCCTTTGCATTTGTGATCCCTCTGCCTGGAACACTGTTCCCTCTGGCTTCCTCACTGCCCTTCCCTTTCACCTCTTCAAAGACCTGTCCCTTCCAGCCCACTAAACTATTCTCCCTTCACTTCTGCCCCTGAAGCACTTTGCTCCCACACTGCCCACTTGTCTCTGAAACGGGCTTGTTTATTTACCTGTTTACGTTTAGTGTCTGTCACCCACTTGCACATGTGAACCCTAGGAGTACAGAAACATTGTGATCAGGGCTGTCTCTCCCCAGCACCTAGAGCAGGGCCGGACACCTAGTAGGTGCTCAGTAAACACATGCAATGAATGAAAGGATCCAGGGTAAGAAGCAGCTGGCCTCTGGACGATGTGCTCGCCCCACCTCCCCCAAGTCTGTAGTGTGCAACCTCCTCTGCTGGCCAATTAGGAAATGTTTCCACCGGGGTCCAAGTGCACCAGGGCCCTAACGTGGTGACCCCACTCTGTCCACATTCTAGCTTGCACTGAAGGCAAGCTGGCTTCTGGAACCACCCAAGCCACACGGTGCCCTGTGTTCTCCCTGGTGAGCCTGGCACTCACTAGACATAGCTAAGTGATAACCTTCACTCAAATCGTTATCAGGCCCTGCCCTAGGAACCGGACGGCAAAAACCCTCTCTTGAGGGCAGGCTGCAACTCACAGACGCAGGTCACTCAGAAGATCTCCGAGGCTGCACCCCAGATCAGTGAGCAGTGGTGCGGTGGTTGATTGGTGATGTCTGCTGTGGCCTGGGAAGGAGGGGGAGGGGAGCGGCTCTCAGGCCCACATCAGAGAGAGCTCACCTGAGGTGACGGCATTGTCCCTCCGCAAGTTCTCGCCCTCGTTCTTCAGGGATGTGATCTCTGAGTTCCTCTCAGACAGGGTCTGGCACAGCACCTGGCTGTAGCCTTTCTGTAAGGCACTGATCTGTGGGAGGAGGCAACACACGGTCAGAGGGGGCCGGCCCAGGCGTACTTCTCCACGGCTGGACAAGAGATTTGGACTGATCTTTGGTGGGGTGTTGGGGAAACCGAGTTTTTAGTTTTAACTAGTGGGAGGGACAGGAGAGGGCCTGTTCCTTCAGTGACCACCGCATCATATGGAATGAAAACGTGAGCCTTAGCTCTGTGTCCACAAAATGGCTCAGGTGCAGCTGCCTGGGGACAGCTGATCCCTAACGTGCCTTCCTACCACCTTTGGACTCCCCGCCAGAAGGAGACCAGCTGTTGGTTCCGGGTCATCCAGTGCCGACCAGATGCAGAGCAAAGCTCACGAGAGGGAAGCATGTTATAAAATTAACTTCCTCGAATGAGAACAATGGCTTATATCTCAGAACACTCCAGAGCTCACAAAGCCCGTTCCCAGACGCTACCTCCCTAGCTCCTCACCGCATCGCAGGAGGCTGAGCTTCCCATTAACGCTCCCAGGTTGCAAGCGAGCATCCCGAGTCTCACGGCCGTGAGGATGACATGGCCGGCAGAGGTGGAGCCCCGATTCGGCTGGTCTCCAGGTGCCCGGTTCCCGCTCTGCCCCCCTTGCCGGGTGGCTCTAGGCACAGGAGTCCGGGCTGCAGGCTGTAAAGCACAGCGTGGACTTGGGAGCCCGACTGTGGCCTTCAGATTCTGTTGCTGCCACTCACCGGCTGAGGAACACACCGGGAGGACACCGGATTCTGTCTCACTGTTTCATTAAGTGGGGTGATGGCAGTCCCAATCGGATAGGATCGTGAGAAGTATTTTAAGAAGTTCGTGTATGTACAAGCGCCCAGATGGTGCCTGGCCCACGGCATACAGGTGGTAGATGCGACTGTCCTCTGACCTCACTACCCAGGTGTCACTACCCAGGTGTGTGTGAGCGGCAGCTCCCCGAGTCAACCCCACAGCTCCCTGTCAAGCCTCTTACCCTGCTGGAGGTGTGGCTTAAAGAACGAAGGCAGGTGGGGCGCGCTCAGGTAATGCGGGCGCGGGCGCAGAGGCCTTGGCCAGCAGAGGGCGCTCACGGTCCTTGTTCTTGGTGTCTGTCCCTGAAAACCTTGTCATTCTTACTCTGGGAGAATTAACAGAAGGAACAAGGTTTCACGCGTTCCCTGGCTCATTTCACGCACCATCATTGTTCAGATTCTATGACAGCTGGGGCAGGTACACTTACTTTTTCCCTGGGGTATCTGAGACATTGGGAAGGGGGCGTCTGCAAGAAGGTGGTGGGGACACAGATGACTCTGTCCCCCACCCTCCCCAAGGCTACACTTTTGCATGTTTGTGCTTTTGAAACTTTGAGTGAAAACGTTTCTTTCACCTCTTACTGTTCTCGGTGGGGGACATGCAACTTTCCCATAAAAGGTACTTGGGATAATTTTTAAGAGTGTTTCTAGCTCTTCTCCGCGTCGTGCTTTTTATTTGCACAACACCAGAGGCACAGGGCAAAGAGACAAGCTTCCAGAAGGGATGGGAAGACATATGCCCGCCTGCCCAAAGACGCCAGTGTTTCTGCTTCTGACAGATAGAAGATAATTCAATCTAGGCACCAGGGTTTGGGGATTTCGGATTACGAGGAAACTCCAGTCTTCAAACCTCTGTTTCCTTCCCCACCCAAATAAGTATCCAGATTGTCTCTAATGGGCATGTATCCCAAGAAGTTGCATGTCTGCTATCCTGGGTAATAAGATGGGCACCGAATCTTAAGAAAGCTGATAGTGTTAGGAGGATGGCCTCGAGAAAATAATTCGGCTGTTAATTAGCTCAGGCGTTCAAGAACAGGCAGGGGCAAGCACTTCCCAGTGATACTGTAGCGGATGGAAGACCGTTGAGAGACCTCATGATGCACACACTTTCAGGGGGACCTGATGACTATAGAGTAATCAGAACAATAAATCAACCAGCCGCGTGGCTTATATTTCTGGCTGAATGTTCTGCAGGCAGTAGAATATTTAAAAAACTAAAATGTGAGCGGATAGAACCTGATTTGGGTTCAGACTAACTGCAGTTTCCAGCCCAGATATGCCTTGTTACAAAATACTCTCTTTCGGTTACAAGTGAAGATTCAGGGGTGGGGGGCGGCGACAGTATAATGAATCGGTGTAATTATTTCTAGATACTTTCTTTGTGAACATTTTCCCCCCAGATATCACTAGCCACTTTAAACAAGACTCGAATTGTGACCTACGGATGCTCAAAGATACGTGAGGATTACACTTTACATGTCAAATATATTTGACTAATAAAGATTATGTGGGAATTATTCACCCTTGTCCACGGACCTGGACAAGACACGCCACTTGTACTCAGGAAAGCTCTGAGATGGGAGAATAGCCAAAAGAGATATTACCCTGTCCGATGGCAAAATTGGGTTCAGATCAAGAACAAGATGCCCATCAAGGAGTTAGCTTCCTGTCAAGTAGCTGTCAAGTAGTAATTCCTATAGGATCTACTACTTTCATTGTTTTTCCCAAAACACGTCCGACAGAGAGTCATTTGTTCATTTGAATATGAGAGCATATATTTGTTTACTTATTAATTCTGTCTCCCTCATTGGAACATAAAGGAGGGAAGGCAAAAATCATACCTGCCTCGTTCTCTGCCGAATTCCCAGAGCCCAGAAGAGAGCATGGCACAAGATGGGCACCCAATAAATCTTACTTGAATGAATGAATGAACAAATGAACGGACACGGTCCTATCAGTGTTCTAGAAAGTAGCTGGGCCCACTCTTTGCTCTCACGGAGCTTACGGTCTCCTGGTAGAATCTCCTAGGTTCACCACGCACAACCTAAGTCCTTTCCTGGGGCACCATTTCTCGGATCAAAGCCACACACCTTGAGTTGCTTAGAGGAGGGGAAAGGCAGTGACCAGGGAAGCAGAGAACAGAGGCCCCAAGCATAGGGAGTCTACAGGTTTGGGCAACAGTTTATACCAAGGCCACAATTCATCAGTGGCCAGTTTGTTGTTGTTGTTTCAAATCAACTTCGTTGACATGTAATTTATGTACAAGATCAATAGCCAATTTTAAAGTAGTTGAAGAAAATTTTTTTTTGGATCTAGTTAGTCTCAAGGATAATGTAGAAATTCTGCGTGGAGAATTTTTGTTTGAGGAAGTTCCCTACAAGTGAGGCAGCAAGTGCCTTCGGGCTTGGGTTTGGAAAACGGGGGATTCCTTCTCCCTCTCTCCAGCTGACTACCTACAGCTCTTTCTGGCTGGGGCTGGGGTGGGGGTGAGCGACAGTCACTGAAGCCATGGAGCTGCGTAGATGGGATGAAAGCATAGGGTCTGCGAGGAGGCAGACCTGCGTTCAACTTGCACCGCCCCCTCTAACTTGCTGTGTGAACTGAACCAGTTCCCGGGCGTCCCCAAGCCTGCCTCAGTCTCCTCATCTGTAGAATGGTACATGTCAAAGGACCGTGCGGTTTAAGTGAGCCAATGCATCTACAGCACTTACACCAAAGCTTGCTCCTTGAACGTGGTTCTCCTGGGCTAGGAGCCTGCCACGCCCCCAGTTCCTGGGATGTGTGCTCATACCCACAGCACTGTGCGGACCATCCCTTTTCTATCCATCTGGGTGACTCCCCTCCATGCTCCCCTGGCTCTCCCCGGCAGCTGCCGCCCTGTGTCCTGACTCTAAGGCCTCCACCAATGTGTCTCCGAGTCCTACCTACCTGGTTTTTCAAGCTCTGGATCTCTCTGCGTTTGGCATCGATGTCTTCATCCAGATCCTGGAACTGACTCTGCCTGGACGAGGCGGACTCCGAAAGCCTCTGACTCAGGCTGGCCACTTCATTCTGCAGCTTCGCTATCACGGCGTCTTTGTATTTGGATTCAAGTTCAAAATCCGAGAGACGGCTGATTTCTTTCCCCAGCAGCAGAATGATTTCATCCTGGGTGGAGGCCAGATGGGGAGTTTAGTAGGTGTGGGTCCGGGGTGCAAGGCTGAGTCCATTTTTAAAAATGTAGGGAAAACGGAGTGTGATTCTTTTGGGAGGGTGAGGACAGGTGGGGAGGGGAAAAAGCGTAGTTTCAAGGTTATCTCCATCACTTGGAAAACCTCACCGAGACAAGAGTTTGGCGAAAATGATATACTTGTATCCAGACTCCTGTAATAGGTGTTTATACTTCACAGAAAATTTCCTTTCCCGTGAAATTATACTTTCATGTTGAGAACAACTGCCCCACATGGGAACTTTTGTTGCTAGGGAGTTTATTTATAATATTTTTGTTTATAATATTCAGCCTAGCACACTGGGGACCCAGGAAAGGTAGTTAGGAAAACGACATTCTATTTGACCACATCCTGCATATAATGAGGACTATTCTTTAACTTAACATTCTGAAATATTTCTTTTCCCTTTCCTTCCTTCTGGTACTTCCTGCCTCTTTGCGTTATTCATGTAAAAATTTACTCCAGGTAACTGAATCTGCAAGTAAATGAGATAAGAGTGGTGATTTATTCGTGTGGGCTCATCAACTTTGGGTCGGGGGGAAAAAAAAATTGCCGGCTGACTTTACCCACAAGTATAATTAACCCAGTTCTCCATCTCTCCAAAAGAAAGAGCTCTACGGCCAAAGAATTTGTTAGGCTTCCCCACCAAAAAGAAAAAAAAAAATTCTCCAAACTTTTCACCGGAAGTCATCAATAAAATGTCCAAAAAAACTGAAACACAAGTCCCCAGATGTATTTGCAAATGTAGCTACAGAATTTCTGCTTCTGAAGTAGACCCTGCTCTTCCAACCGTTTCCCACTGGTTGGAAGGAGGTAAATGAGTAATTTGTAAGCCAACTCGTTTCCTGGGGAGCTTTACCCAATCAGCCTCAAGACCTTCCAGCTCCCCGACCCATGGAAGGACACGGTTTCTGTTGTGAGGAAGCTTCTCTGGCATTGGCAATTGCTGCCAAGGGTCTTTCTTTGAATCCCTGCAAATGCTTGTGGCAAAGTTTCAAGGGATAGCATCAAACAGATTCCATACTCCTGGGCAGCCATGCCTGTTTCCCCCAATTATGGTCAGCCAGGTGCTTAGTATCTAGTTATGCAATAAACATCTATTGAGCAGCTACTACGTGCCAGGCCCTGTGCTGGGCTCTGGAGTATAAAGAAGGCTGTAAGGTGTGCTGTACAGATGGAGTTTAAGCCTTTCTGTGAGGACCCCAAGCTCTTCCTTGAGAGAGTCCTCCCCCTTCCATATGGTCTTGGTAGGACTGTCAATCATGTGCCCTGCTCCTTCCCGTCCCGCCTCCCCGTGTGCACGTGACCCAAACTGGTCAATCAGGGTTTTCTCAGAGATTTCACGCATCCATCACAGAGGGAGAGGATCGTGCCTCCTTTTGGATCACAAACTTTAAATTTATGGGCTTATGTGCCTGAGTTTGACTTTTCCAACACATGAAGCCTGTGTGCTATAGAAAGCCAAGATCCGAGGGAAACAGAGGGAAGAGATCGGTAGTAGGGAGTGTTCTGATCTCGCTTAAGCTCCTGTATCTGGCCATGCCTGAAGCTAGTGGGCTTTTAAATTTCCAAGAAGATGAGCCAATAAATGCTTATTTTTTTTAATTTATTTTTTTTGCTTAAGCTAATTTGTTTATTGGCACTTGCATTTGAAGGAGTCCTGGAAAGTCAGGGCATAAATGGCTTATAAATAGGAAAAAATATATAAATGTGGTTGCATCCTATTTCCAGTTTAAAACTGGGGTAGATTGGGCGCCTGGGTGGCTCAGTTGGTTAAGCGACTGCCTTCGGCTCAGGTCATGGTCCCAGAGTCCTGGGATCGAGTCCCACATCTGGCTCCCGGCTCGGTGGGGAGCCTTCTTCTCCCTCTGACCCTCTCCCCTCTCATGCTGTTTCTCTCTCTCTCAAATAAAACTGGGGTAGATCGAAAAATGACCACAAATGCTTTGTACCTTCTGCCATCAAGCAGAATTGGACTTCCCCATTCCCTAAGTTGGGGCCGGTCCTGTATCTTGCTTTGACCAATAGAATATGGCAGAAGTGATGTACGGCAATCTCCAGGCAAGTTCTTAAAAGGCTATATGGCTTCTGTTCTGGCCCTCTGGGAAGCCTGGGGCCACTCTGCTGTGAAGCAGCCCCAGACGATAAACCATGTGCAGAGAGAGGCCTATCACTCCAGGCATGCTGGCTGAGGTCCCAGACATGGGAATGAGGCCATCTGAGACCACTGGCTGGGCTACGCCACTGATTGACTACAGTTGCATGAACGAAGCCAGGGGACACCAGCAGAAGAACATTCCAGGTCAACCTGTAGATTCTGGGAAGTAATAAATTGCTGTTTTTTTTGGGGTTTTTTTGAGTAGGCTTCACACCCCACATGGGGCTTGAACTCATGACCCTGAAATCAAGAGTCACATGCTCTACTGACTGAGCCAGCCAGGTGCCCAATAAATTGCCATTTTAAGCCACTAAGTTTTGGGATGGCTTGTGCACAGCGAGAGAGAACTAATAACAGCGTCTGAGCCTGGCTTCTCGCCTCACTGCAATACTTCTCCAAGGTTTGGTCCTGGGACACCTGCCACCTGAAGTCGCAGATTCCCACGCCCAGTCTGGACCCCACGTGGTTCTGCTCCTCACAGACTCAGAGAATTGCTGCAGGCTCAGGCCCCGGTCTTTAAGGAAAGTAAGATATCGCAGGACTGCTTCTTTTAGGATAATTTCAGGTTGTGTCTATGTAGGGAGAAATCAACCTGGACCCTTCCCAGCATGGCTTGAATTCATCTGCTCTGGCTCCCATTCCCATTTCATTCTAAACCTCTCTGGTTCTTCAACAAACCTCTGTCTTCCCTCAGTCCTCAACTTCATTGCTCACTACTTCCTGCCAGGAAATGTGTTTTCCCCACCACTGTGCTGCCGCTCATGTTTGACCAAGCAGTTACTGTGTGGGATCCAGGAGCACCAGCTTGCAAATTAACCAGGCCTACCTTTGAATCCCAGCTTTGCCCCTCACTCTGTGCAACCTTGGGCCAGTTACTGAACCTCTCTGAGCTTCGGCTCCCTCCTCTGTAAAGTGAGGGTAGTTTAACATTTATTTCGAAGATGGTGAAGATTACTGAGCTAATTGAATGTCAACGGCCCAGGACACAGTCCAGCACACAGTAGGTGCTCAATACTTTGTGCTTGTAGATGTTGTTATTTGGGATAAAATGAGCAGTTACCAAACCTTTGGTTGAATGTCCCGGGAGTAAAAGGTGGTTTCTTGGAAGTAGTAAAAAAAAGGCACTTCTAGACCACAGAGAACAAGAGACAATCCCTCTACAGTCTCTCTTGCTGCTGTAGACCCCTCACCTTATCCTCCTGGGCTGGGTCCTGGTCCACGTAAATATCCCTGGAAGGTCCTGCCCCGGAAATTCCTTCGACCACTGACTGTTCCGACAGCTCCACAGCATTGGTCCACACTAACGCCAAGATCAACAGAGAGCACACAGGACATTGTGAGTGACCCTGAGGTCTGGAAGGATCTTTTTAGACCACCTTCTTAATTCTTTTCCTGCTGTTATTAAAAATGGTAAAGCGGTGTCTACATTCACGGCAAAGCGATGAAGAAGGCATTACAGAAGTATAAGAAAGGGAAAGAACAGCCTCCTCCCTCTTCTCCAGGGTTAGCTGCGCTGATTTGCTTTGGTGCACCCCTTTCTAGGCTTTTTGCTATTCCATGTAAGAGCTGGTGACCTTGGGCAGGTCGTTAACTCTCTAAGCCTTGGTTATATAACTTACATGTTACAGTCTCTGTTATAAAGGACACTTTGAGGATTAACTGAAGTAGTAGAGCAGGGGTTGGCAAACTATGGCACTAGGGACAAATCTGGCCTCCCAACTGTTTTTGTAAATCAAGTTTTATTGAAACACATCCACAGTCATTCATTTGCATATTGTCTATGGCTGCTTTCCAGCTACAAAGGCTGGGTTGAGTAGCTGTGATGGAGACGATATAGCCCACAGAGCCTAAAATATTTACAGAAAAAGCTTCTCTTTACAGAAGTTTCCTACCCCTGAGCACTATACTAACATTAAGCACGAAATGTTAGCGACTTTTATTGCAATTATATCTTAAAAAAAACAAAAATGGATTTCTATTGCAGAGATTTTTCCCCAGCTTGCTTTTTCACTTGACACTATATCAAAAACATCTTCCTATGTCAATATTTGTAGCTATACTATGGTGTTTTTTTTTTTCTATAACTAGAAGTTTGTACCTTTTAATCCCCTTCATTATTTATATTGTATTCTGTTTTTTTTAAGATTTTATTTTTATATTTTTTAAAGATTTTAGTTATTTATTTGAGAGAGCGAGAGTAAGAGAGAGCGAGCACAAACTGTGGGGGAGGCAGAGGGAGAGGGAGAAGCAGACTTCCCACTGATCAGGGAGCCCCATGGGAGGCTGGATCCCAGGACCCCGGAATTATGACCTGAAGCAAAGGCAGATGCTCAACCGACTGAGCCACCCAGGTGCCCCAAGATTTTATTTTTAAGTAATCTCTGCACCCAGCGTAGGGCTCAAACCCATGACCCTGAGATCGAGAGTTGCAGGCTCCATTGACTGAGCCAGCCAGGCACCCCTATGCTGTATTTTTTTTAATGGTAGTGTTGCAGTCCATCGTACAAATGTGCCAAACATATTTAACTTGGATCCGCTTGATAGATATTCAGGATTTCCTGATTTTTTTTTCTTTTTTTTTTTTTTTGCTTATTTCCCCACAATATTACAAGGGATGTTCATGACTTTCAGGAGGCCTGGCATTGTTATGCTTGGAGGCCCCACTTTGTATCTCATCAAACACACCACAATTCACTCACATTAACACTGAATACATTTTTTTTTTTGGGTGTACAAACTTTTGAAAAGATTTCTATATTTCTGTTTTTGAGATCATTTGGCTCTAAGTGGCATGTTTTAAATTTCCAACTGACTGATTTCTGGGCAATCATTGCACATTCTTGTCTTCTTGTGAAGTGAGAAATTGAACCAATTGTTTTCAAAGGCTATGAAACATTAATGAATGTTAACATTAACAATTAATGAAGTACACACCGTCACATTTGTGGACATTTACTCAATCATTGATTCCCTTTGATTCTGCATTTTTTATTTATGCATTTCAGAGCCAACGATTTTCTCCCCTAGGTCTCGACCGTGTTTGTGGACTCCAGAAGCACGAGTGGACATAGTCAAAGGCCTGTGGTGCCTGGCAAATGCGTGGCCTTGCGTGTTGGATGAGTGGCCTTGGCCAAAATGTTTCCTGGGCACGTGGAAGGGAAGGGGCCTGGGCTCCCAACCACCCTCCCTGCATCTGCACCAGAACAGGCTGGGATAGGCCTCCTGGTGTAGCTGGACCTTGGGTCACATCCCCTCCCTGGCTAACATCTGCCATCACTTCCTTCTTTTTATAGGGTCTTTTTACAGGGTCTCAGGCCACGTTCCTCTGGGAGGGTACTCTTCAGCCACACTGCCCAACGTCTCGCACTCGTCCCACCCACCGCCCACCCTTGCCACTCACCGTCCCTTCCACCTGGAATGCTGTTCCCTCCCCTCTGCACTTTGTGAAGGTCACTTGCCTTTCCGTGCTTGGCTTGAGTGTCACTCCCTCGGGGACACCGTCCTGATCCCCCAACTAAGTCGGGCCTTATAGTTACGAGCCAATGGGTACTGGGCATTTCTGCTGCCGAGTGTTACCATGATTACCATTTTATAGCTGTTGTTCTGTGATCCTTTTGTTAATGTCAGTCTCCCCGAATGAATGGTAAGTTCTGTGAGATTGGGGATCATGACTCAGTTTGTGCCCCTTAAAATGAATTGGCTAATCCCATCTGACAGATATGTAAACGGGCACAGAGAGAGTAAACCTCTGCCCAAGCTCACAGAGCTGGAAAGAGGCCAAGCCCTCACCTGTCTCCATTCTGTGATGCGCTCATGGACAGGGAAAGGTGCTCAGGAGTATTGTCGAAGAACAAAAAGCTCGGGGCCTGGCCCACTCTTGACCAATAACTCACGAAAGGCTTGTCGGCCACCAGTGCCTTCCGTAAGTCAATGCTGGGGCTCACAAAATCCGCTGTGAGGCAGCTGCTGTTACAGCCATTTTGAGAAGCCCAGGTGCAGAGAGATGGAGGCCACGTGTCTGCTATGGGGCAGTCAGGTCTGACCCAGTCAGTTTGGCTCCGGAACCGGCGCACACACCCACACGTAGGAGGTCCTCCCCGGTGGTGAACATGTGAATGAGGCCGTGAGTGAGGAATTTAGGAGCTGGTTCACCGTGACAAACCCGTCAACGAGGAGCAGTTTCACATGGACCATGTCCCATGGAGTGTCTCCCTTCCTATTGATCGCCAAGGACTGGATTTGGGATTCACTTGATGGAGTTTCAGCCGCTGCCTGATGAAACTGGTCAAGTGACCAACTGTCCTGGTTTGCCAGGCACTGCGGGGCTTCCTGGGAGGGGGGACTTTCTGTACCAAAGCTGACGAAGACCCAGGCAAACCAGGACCAGTTGGTCTTCCTAGAAATAGTCGAGAAAAGAAAGCTCCCTACTTACCCACCTACACACCCACTTGGTTTCCTGTGTCCATGCTGGAGGCCAACAGCGCTATGGACAGAAAAGGCTTAGGGAAGAAGTCCTGCTGGGTGCGCTGGCCTCAAATCTCAGACACATGGAGACAGAGGTGCTTTAAGAAGTTTCAAGGTACAACTATTTGCCAAATGGGAGAGAAGTTGCTTCAATATTTTTTTTTTAAGATTTTATTTATTTATTTGAGAGAGAGAGAGAGAGCACAGAAGGGGGGAGCGGGAGAGGGAGAAGCAGACTCCCTGCTGAGCAGGTAGCCCGATGCGGGACTCGATCCCGGGACTCCAGGATCATGACCTGAGCCGAAGGCAGTCGCTTAACCAACTGAGCCACCCAGGCGCCCGTTGCTTCAATATTTTAACAACTGTCTGGCTCTCCCGGAACTTATCAGATAATTATCAGTTCTCACCAGGGACAGCATGTGTGTTCCTGCATTGTGTCTTTAGGATTTGGACTGCATGCCTTTCATTGTGTGGTGACCAGCCTCCAAGATGGCACCAATGGTTCTTATCTCCTGCTATCCACACCCTTGGATTGTCCTCTCCAACAGTGGATGGACTTTGCAATGGTCAGCTCAGCGGCCATGATGAAATACCATAGACTGGGCAGCTTATGCAATGGAATGATATTCCTTACAGCCTGGAGGCTGATAGTCCAAGGTCAAGATGCCATCAGGGTTGGTTTCTCCTGAGGCCTCTCTTCGTGGCTTGTAGATGGCTACTTTCTTTCTGTGTCTTCACATGGCCTTTCCTCCATGTGTAGGTATCCCTGGTCAGTGTGTCTGTCTGTTTCTCTTTCTCTTCTTATAAGGATCCCTGTGATGTGGTGGCAGGAAGTCTTATAACACATTGCCTGTGGTGATGGGGAAAGTAGAAAATGTTCCTAATGAACTGGGTGATGGAGCCCAGGCAGAGTGCCACCTGACTCCTTTCTGGCACTTACTGTGAATGTGGGAGGGGACAGAGGCCAACGGAGGGACTGTTGAACCACAAGGAGCTGGGACTCAATTGGGCTTGAAGATTCCCTGCCTCTCCACGTGGCAAAAGAAATGCAAGACATAGGTTCTGGGCAAAGGTCAAATCCAGGGCACTCTCAGGAAAACATGCTCCGAAGATGAAGCTGAGTGTAAGACTGTAATATCCTTTGTCAAGAATGCAGAACAATCTGAGCCAGTGTCTCAGAGAATGATCTGGGCAAAGCATAGGGCTTCTAAGAAGTGCTGTCCCTCCCACTCTTGGCAGAAGCCCAGGGCAGAGGAGTGCTTATGTCAAAGGAATATGTGGGCATGGCTTTTGCCTAGTTGGGTGAACCCCAATAAGGGACACTACCGATGTGGATTGAGGGAGGCAGAGACCCACAAAAGCAAAAGAAGCCAATGAACCCCACACGTCTATAGGCAGGTAGCTGACTATAAAACTATACAGTTGCAAACATGTGATGTCCTTCATGGAAAAGGTAGGAGGACTCAGAGGGCCGATCCAAGGAACCAGAGGGCAGAGGCGAGAGCCATGGAGGGTCATTTCTGGGCAAGAATAGGTCTAAGTCCTAATCAGGGAACTTCCAACATATTCCTGGCTGGATTTCAGAATTGCTTTGGGCCAAGCACTCCTGTGTGTTTGTTTTTCCCTTTTGAACAGAAGGCGTGTCCACAGCAGTATGCTTTGTGTGTCCCACTAGTGTATGTTGGGTGTGTGAGGGACAGACGACCCATCTCTTTAGTTCAAAGGTCTTCAGATTGCTGGAAATGGTACTTGAGAAGCTGAACTTAAGGAACTACACCTAGTGAGCCTCATCTGCACCTGGACTTGATTTAGATGATGAGATTCTGGAATTTAGGCTGATGCTGGAATGGGGTCAGACTTTGGGGGAACTTGGGAGAGGGTGAGGGAGTGGTACAAGTGAGGGGGGGGTGAATCCTTGAGGACCAAAGGGCAGACTGTGGTAGCCAGCCTCTAAGATAGGGCTGCCAATAACACTTGCCTCCTGGTATTCAGGCCCATGGGCTGTCTTCTCCCAACCTAGATGGAGCTGACTTAGGTAATGACAGAGTAGCTTTGGAGGCTTGCCCTAAGAGATGTTGTAGTTTCCATCTTGCTTTCTTGGATCACTTGCTCAGGAAGAGCCATCTGCTATTCCATGAGGATTCTCCAGCAACTCTCTGGATAGGTCCCTATTGTGAGGATGTGGGGCCTTCTGCCAACAGCTACGTGAGTGCGCCATCTTGGAAGCAGATTCTCCAGCCCCCGTCAAGCCTTCAGAAGACTGCAGTCCTGGCCAACAGCTTACCTGCAACTTATAAGTGACCCTGACCCTGAGGTGGTTTACCCCCACCCTGCTAAGCTGCTCCCAAATTCCTGACCCACAGAAACTGTATCAGATAATACATGTTTGGGGTTTTGTGTGTGTGTGTGTGTGTGTGTGTGTGTGTTTGCTTTAGGCTACTAAATTTTGAGAGAATTTGTCATGCAGCAATTGATAACTTATATATGTTGCAGTTAATTTTACATCAAAAAGACAAAAACTGTTGAACTCTGGTTACTGTTACATATATTAACATATTAAGGGGGAAGACTATAGATATGTGCAATTTATTTTGAAACATACCAAAAAATAAGATGGGTTAACAAATGGGTAGAAGGATGGTTAGACAGATATGCAATAGAGTATAGCAAGATGTTTTTTTTTTTAAAGATTTTATTTATTTATTTGACAGAGAGACAGCCAGCCTAAGAGGGAACACAAGCAGGGGGAGCAGGAGAGGGAGAAGCAGGCTCCCCGCCCAGCAGGGAGCCCGATGCGGGGCTCGATCCCAGAACTCTGGGATCATGACCTGAGCCGAAGGCAGACGCTTAACGACTGAGCCACCCAGGCGCCCCGAATATAGCAAAATGTTAATGATGCAATTAGGTAGGATGTTCTCTGTCAAATTCTTTCTACTTTGCTGTATGTTTGAAAACTTTCATACTTATAAAATATAGGGGGGAAATGGCTGAGTAATTTCATTTGCTGTTGATGGCACGTAAGGGTTCCTCTGATGATGAAGATGAAGATGAAGATGAAGATGATATAACTGCATTTCATTTACTCCTCTGTTTGTATATTTCACAACAATAACTATTATTTGAATGGCTGAGGGAGGTGATTAGGTGAACGGTCCTGAGTGACACCAGTGGAGGATGCGAAGCCACAGAGACACCTGGGGACTCCAAGGGGTCTGGGGCTGGGATGCAGAGGGCAGAGAACGGGATCTTCACATCACAGGCATGGAGGAAACTGGAATCATGCCAGGGACTAAATCAAACCCGCTGGTGAGGCCAAGAGGACAGTGACAGGCAGGAAGTCCCCTCCTCAGATGCCATGAGACCTTTTGGGAAAGGGGTTGAGGAAAGGAAACCGGGAAGGCTGGTCCCCAGAGTGACCAGGCTGTGAGTGACAGCGACAGTGACTGAGATAACCAGCCTTAAATTTGACTGAAAAGTGTTAGATTGGACTAGATTGAATATGTCACATCTGGGAGGTAATTTTCCTCAATAAGCCTCAGCCTCCTCTCACCTGTAAAATGATAATAAAATATTTAAAAACCTCCTAAGGCTGTTGTGGCCAAGGGGGATTTCAGGTGCCAATATTTCTGCACATGTGAGTCAAAGCTGTGAGTTTACAGTCCTGCTACACATTCATATATAAGCACACACACACACACACACATCCACACACTGACACACACCCACATCCACACACTCGCCACAGGGACACTGATGGGTGCCAATGTGCAGAGCACGAAGTCTGAAGGGATATGCCCCAAAAAGTCAACAGGGGATATTGGGTGATGAGGGTGACAAATGGTCTTTAACTATTTTCTTACTTTCTCTTTATCCCTGATTTTTTTTTTTTTAAGTAGGCTCCACCCTGGGCTTTTGCCAACGTGCGGCTTGAACCCACCACCCTGAGATCAAGACCTGAGCTGAGATCGAGAGTCGGACGCTCAACTGACGGAACCACCCAGGCACCTCTAACCCCGATTTTCTCACAATTAAATGTGTTCTACTTTTGGAATTGGAGAAAATAAGCAAAAATCAAGACCCACCCTTGTGGCTCTAAGCCCATCCCCAAAGCCACCAGGGGAAGCGCGCATGAATACCTTGCTTGATGATGGGAGGCCTGTGAGTGCTATCCACCACAAAGGAGAACATCTTCCCACCAGCACTCACAGGCCGCTTGTGGGAGGCAGGCGGGACCATGGTGGGTCTGGGAAACCCCTGGGACCAGCTCCTCTGCACTGGTGGTGTCCGGATGCCTGGGTGGAAGGGCATCTGTGGTGGTGAGGGTGACTGTTTCGACTGCTGTGTGGCTCGAGGTGGCTGTGGTCTTGGCCAAGGTGCCGAACCACTCATCCATGGGAAGGAGACCTGCAGGGGCAGACAAGAGGGTCAGAGGAGGTTCCAATCTGCTGGGGGGTGGTCTCAACTCTTGTCCCAGCCCTATAATTGCTGCCCTGGGGCTCACCTTATAAGTCTCTTCCCCCAGGAAGCCCTCCCAGACTCTCCCCAAGTTTGCACATTGCACACTATCACACCACCATTAATTGGGGGCAGCCTTCATGCCAGGCATCCTGGCAAGAGGTTCACGTGCACTGCCCTATTTAATACACCCAACACTCTTCTGTCGCGAGACTGAGGCTGAGCAAGACCTCGTGACTTTCCAAGATCACAGATTTGCCGGTGAGCCTCTGAGCTGGTAGAATGTCACCTCTAAGAGAAGAGGGCTTTTTGTCTATCTTGCTCACCCCTGTATCCTCAGCACCTAGAATAAGTGCCTGGCACATAAAGAGCAGGCCCTCGAATACTGGGTGAAAGAATGAGGGAACAGATCACTGAGATTCACACCCAGCTTTCTAGGACCCCCAGCCCGCTTTCTTTCCATCCACACTGCCCATCTCTTGGGCACTTCTACGCCATCTGTCCTCCGAAGCCGAGAGCTCTGGGATGACAGGAATCCCAACTGTCTCATTAACCTTTGATCCTCAATGTCTACCACACCTGATTCTTGGGAGATGCTCCGTAAATATCTACTAAGGGAATGTTTCAGCATCTGACCCGTGGAAGATGTCTGCAGCCACTGTCATTGGGAAGCAAGCCCAACTCCATCTAACCTCAGCCAGGCACATAGAGGGGCTGACACCTGGCTTGTGCCTGGGTAATGCCTCCGTGGTGGCTTCTCCCTGTGTCTAGGGTTAAACAATGACACTGGGGTGGGCTGTCATTTATTGCTCTTTCCTTATCCATTCCTCACAATAGCCCTTCAGGTCTCCTGATTCCTACTTTACAAACTGAGGCTTGGTGAGGTTAAGGAATTTACTCAGGCTCAGGTCGTGGTGGGGAGGGAACTGGGATGGAGGTCTGATGACCCCTGTCTCTGTTTTTGTCTCTCAACCCTCACTCCCTTCTCTTGGCAGAAAAAACACACTAAGTTCAAATGTTTGTCAGGACCTATGTAGGGCCACACATCTATTCCCCTTGGCTCACATTTCTCCTTCTGTAGACTGGAGAGAATATGAGTTCAGAGGCACACAGAGAGAAACAGACACTTCCAAAATATGAGCACCAGCTTGCAGAGCTTCATTTGGATTTTATTCAAGAGGAAGGCTCTCCCGCTCACTCAGGCTCCTGAACCAAGCTTTTGGTCCTGTCTTTCCCCAGCAAGTCAAGGATCCTGTGCGTTCCCTCTGAAGACTCTTTCTTGGAGCCGGTGAGAACAGTGTTCGGGGGAAATCAAGCTCCAAGCTCCAACTGCCTGGAGACATCTGGCCCAGCATACCTAATGTTCCTGGCCCACTTTACATCTGCTTCAGGAACAGACTTGGCAGGGTGCTGGGAATCTGTTACCTTCTGCACAGTTTCGAATTTCTCTCCACTGTCAACACCTTAGTCTCTCCATCTGTGCCTTCCTCCTGTCTTCACTCTCCGCGGCCGAGGTGCCCTGCCCCTGCCCTGACTTCTCCATCCACTCTGTCCCTTCCCTTCCCCTCCTCTTGCCTCAGTCACTCCTATAACTTTTCCCATCAGTTTAATAAATATTTATTGAACGAATGGGCCCAAGGTGACAAAGGGTAAATTCTAATGTGGTTTACCCCCAGCCTGCTGGTGAGCAAATCTAGAGGTTACTGGCAGGGGTGGAGGAACTCCCTCTCGTGCTGGGGTCCTCAGGTGACCTGCTCACCGCTAACCAACTGCAAGGATGCTAGCAGGAGTGAACACACCGGGGGTCTCCAGTGCTCCACTTCCCTAGCGCTCAGGCCAGAACCCACTCGGGTCTTTTGGGAGATTCCCGGGGAATCCCCCACCCAATAGCCGAGCTCCTTATTGTGGGTGGGGCTACACACTCAGCCAATCACATCCCCTGGGCATCGTGATTGGTCCAGTAGTGGGGCATGTGATCCAATCAGAGGACCCGTGGGACCCGCGGCTGGACACCAGGATCCGGAAAGACCTCCCAGACTTGAGAATGTAGCCCCCGCGGATGAGGGAGTGGGGCCCAGGCACCGAGAGATGGAAGCTATTGCTGTTTTAATTTGGTAAATCACACATAACATAAAATTTGCCATCTTAACCGTTTTTAAGTGCAGGGTTCAGGAGTGTTAAGGACACTCACATTGCTGGGAGACAGATCTTCAGAAAGTTTCCATCTTGCAAAACTGAAACGCTGTCCCCATGAAATAACACCTCCCCTTTTCCCCTCCCCCCAGCCCCTGGCACCCAGCATTCCACTTTCTGTCTCTATGAATTTGACTCTCTAGGTACCTCAGGTAAGTGGAATCACACAGCATTTGTCTTTTGGTGACTGGCTTATTTCACTGAGCAGCGGGTCCTCAAGGTTCATCCACGTTTGTAGCAGGTGTCAGAATTCCCTTCCTTTTTGTATACGTCACATTTTGTTTATCCATTCAGTGTCAGAGGGCACTTGGGTTGTTTCCACTCTGACTATTGTGACCATGCTGCTGTGAACGTGGACGTGCATGCGGGGAAGCTCGCTTTGAGCCCTGGCTTGGGTGCCCTGAGCTGCTTAGCCCCATGAGGCCAGCTAGAACAGCACAGAGCCCTAACCATAGGGTGTCTAAATGGGGAGGAGCCAGAGACTCCCGAATGCAGCAAAGCCTCCAATTGGCTTTTTGGCTTCAAAAATAAAACTATAAAGCTTTTCATTTTCTTTCTCAAGCTTGTTGATTGTGGATAGTTTTAGTTGGAAGGTTAAAGTTGATTTTTTCTGGTTTGCCTGCTTGCTCTATAATAGGCAAGGTCAAGGTTTTCTCAGAAATTGCTGCCGGTAACTATAAGGAAATAGGCAGGGGTAAAGCAAACACAAAAAGACTCACATTAAAAAGCTGGTTCTGGGCTGTGCTCACATTAGAATGTACACAGAGGTTGGGGTCAAGGTCAGTTATCAACAAGTCTGCTTTTAGAAACTTTAGTTTAAAAATACATGCTAATGCCTTTTCTTGTTCTTTTTGTCCCCCCATTCTCTGACCCTATGGCATGTTGCATGTTTTTTTGTTTTGTTTTTGAGGGAGCATATGTGATGTTCACACTCTCTCTAAAATAGCAGGTTGTCAACCCCCTGGATTAACCATGACACAGCCACTGCTGAATTTATATCAGCTTGAACAAACACCTGGAAATGATTTACTCAAGAAAACATAATCCATTTTTTTCAGATTATCTACTTGTTCTTTGTGTTATCTTTCCAGTATGTGCTTTTAGCCCTGTAAAAGGTGCAGGCTGAATGGGACACTCTAAAGTAATCAAGGTAGTTTGGATACAGGGTGCCTACAGGACACACGCATTCTGCCAGGAAGCCCTGGAAGCTGGGTAGAAAGTGAAGTATACCTTGCCCTTGGAGAGCCCGTCACAAGCTCTGTTGTTTGTAATTGCCGATACTTCTATGGCTATGAGCCACCATGTCGAGAAGGCACAGATGTGCTGGAGACTGTGTTGTGCACTGAACATATGTGTTCTCATCTGATTGCCAGGATAATCTCGGAGGTGGGGAGGCATTTTTACCCCCATGTTGTGGATTAAGAAACTGAAGCTCAGAGAGGTTAAGTGACTTGCCCAAGGTCCCACAGCCAGGAAGAAGTGATGCTGTTTGACTCTAACACCGTGCTCTCAGAGCTTTGAGGTTATTCAAAGTCATGATTTTATACCTGCTTTCTATACCCACGAAAGGGTCTTAAACGATTGGTTAGTGAGGAATAGGAGATTTTCTGAGTTATAAGAAAGAAAATAAGAAAGAAACAGTGTGAAGGACCACAAGATGTTGCACGGGGTACTTGGAAACAGGATTTTCTAGGAACACTGACAACTCTTTTATGGAAGTGTTATTCATATGGCACACGCTGGATGTTACTCGGAGGACACCAGCCTCCACCCGAGCAGGACGGGGGCATGTCCTCTGTACCAGGGGTGTGCTGGGGCTAGCCGCTACCAGCTCGTGAGAGCCAGTTACTAAATGCCCAGGAGTTTCTTTTTTTTTTTTTTTTTTTTAAAGATTTTATTTATTTGACAGAGAGAGACACAGCGAGAGAGGGAACACAAGCAGGGGGAGTGGGAGAGGGAGAAGCAGGC